GACCCACACAAGCCCATCCACATCTCCACAGATTGGTCAGAATGAGCCATTGCTGGCTACCTTGCCCAGCCCAACCACAATGACATTAAACAACCTATTGCCTATTTCTTGCATAAATGTAAGCCCAAGGAATCCAAGTATCATCCATACATGGGTGAAATCCTTGCCCTAGTTGAAACCTCAAGCACTTCTGCAACTACATCTATGGGTCCAACCGAGTCTATGTTTTTACAGACCACCAGTCCTTGCGCCATATCCTCACGCAACCCAAACTCTGTCCTGTCCACCACCACTGGCTTGCTGACCTCCTATCCTATGATTTTCACATCCAGTGGACACTGGGGGAGTGGAATACTGTAGCTGACACTCTTTCCTGATGTCATTTTGCTTCCAAAGCTTCAGTTCAGGTAGATCTCCACTCACAAGCTACCCACTCAAAATTACAGTTGCTGACCATCTCTGCACTCAACTTTACTGAACTCAAGATCACTGACAGTCTCCTCTCTGATGTCAAAGACATGTGCACTACTGACCCAGAATTCATCAAGATCACGCAGCATCTGGTGGATCCCTCCAACCCTGACACCTTCGAAAATGACCCTTCGAATGCTCCAAAGGAACTAACCAGCCAGATAGCTTGTTACCAGTTCCGTGGCAACCTCCTTTACTACGTTGATAAGTCACATGCCCAACTCTTTATTCCAGGACCTTTGCATACCAGCATCATTAGGAAAGCCCACTCCTACGGTCCAGCCATCCACAACAACTGGGAACGCACTGCTGAGCGTATCACCCACTACTTCCATTGGCCAAAGCTACATGCAGATGTACAACGCCTTGTACAGACCTGCAATGCCTGTCAACATCTCAAGATTGCCTGCCGCCTGCCGTACGGCCTACTCAAGCCACATGATGTGCCCCCTCATCCTTGGCACACCTGCTCTATGGACTTCATGACCAAACTACCCCACACTCAAGCTGGATACAATGCCCTCATGGTTGTTGTTGATTCAATGACCAAACGCACTCGCCTAGTGCCCTGCCACACTACTTCCACCACACGTGACATTGCGGATCTCTTCAAATGCCACATCTTTGTTCAACACGGCATCCCCCTCCACTACATCTCCAACCATGACTCCAAGTTTACCTCCCGCTTCTGGAAACAGCTCTGCCGTTCACTTAATGTCCAACTAACCATTGCCACTACAGCCCATCCCCAGACTGACGGCCAGACTGAACAGAAAAATGACTGGATTCTCCAAGCACTCCGTCACTTCGTCAATTACCAGCAAGATGACTGGGATCTCCACCTTGCCAAGGTCAAATTCGGCATCAATGACACTGTCAACTCTTCAACTGGCTACACTCCATTCTTCCTTGAATTTGGTTGCCCATCCAAAATCCATCTTTAACATCAATTTTACAGTTTATTCTCCACTTTCTTTATGTATACGGGATGCGCAAGATCATTATTCTGCCATCTCTAATTGCCATCACCTCTGTTCCCCATTCCAAGTTGGAGATCTTGTCCTGATCTCTCTCAAGGATTTCAAGC